ACCCCACAGTGGAGAGAAAACTGGCCTCTTCCGAAATGTGCAGCTGGTAAAAAACTCGATACATAGGTAAGTCGCAGTTAACACTGCAGTGCATTGCTGGAAAGAGCTGCATAAACCCAATACACAGAAATTAAAAACAAATTGTTCTTCACTGCTGCGGTTCCAGAGCGGGCATGGTAGATCTTTGGAGCGCGGATGTTCATGGGGTCTTTGTGCTTTGGCGTTTCATTATAACTGCTTGGTGGAAAAGTACCACTGCTGGGCTACAGTAGGCGAGTTGGTTCGGTGTCGGAAGGGGAATGGATATCTCTATTTTTGTACTGCATTTTGTGGGGTTTGGAAAAAACAAAAATCAGTTCACAGAAAAGAAATGGGTCAATTCTTATTGTCGGTGTTGCAGATGTGGTCACTTAAGATGAACAGGCAAAAACCCTTCTGTGACACCAGAACTCTGTTGCAGCCAGATGTACTTCTCTTTCCTGAAATAGTAGGTCATGTGTTTGTCTGTCCGCACACATCCTGCACGTAGAAGATTGCCACATGTAAAAATGAGTCTAAAATCGAAAATAACTTTTGGTATTGGCCTGACAAATGAACAATTCATACCAAACAAAAAGTTAGTGATTGACGTATTAGTTAATAGTACATGCTAGTTCCTCTCCTGTCTAAGCACCAGCCTTTTTTTCCAAGGAAAACCTTTGTTAAATTATTTGTACGTAGTCAGCAGGTGGCAATCACTGAACCTTTACTGCAAATTATGCGTAAAAAATGATGTGTAAAACATGCCCTTTCGAATAATGTGCTACATCGCATTACTGTTATTAATTATCGGTAATTATATTTTTCAGTTCCTACAATCCAAAGTCTAACAAATGTTTTGTGGTTCATATCTTGATTGCACTATTTAAGGCCATGGTAGTTGTTTGATTGTAGCTAAAGGTGGCTACCTCATTTATGTTAGGAAATTCAGATTTCCTGTGCTTTTGGAATCCTATGGTGAGAAACAATGGTTTCTCCTAGTTGGTGAAGCATTTTTAGAATATAGGAGATTTATTTTCAGTCACTTTTAGGCAGCAGTGTTGTAGGGAGGGAGATTTTGTTCTCTTTAGGATTTATTTCTACAAAGGTGGGTTATTCTCTTTTTGGCCTGTTATATGCTTTTATTAGTGTTTTCAGAATACAGGGCTAGAATTTTGAATTATTTTTGTCTGTAGCAAGTATGGAATGCATAGATTTGTGTTATCACAAAATGTGGTGCAGCAATGTTTTTTATTGTACCATTTGGATTATTGACTGACCTCACTAGTTAATAAGAAAATACAGTGACAATATTTTTCTATGATATACTAAACATTGAAATATCTTTTACTCTTTAGACTTTGTGTATTGTCTGCACTGTGTTATTTCTGTAGAATGTTTTTCTCCCCAATGTCAATATAACAAACATTGAGTATTTGAATTTTAAAATTGGTCTTGATTTACTGCACAGTGTAAGTAGTAAATCAAGAAAAAGTAAGTCGGAAAAGTTCATTAGAGTGGATCTCATGGTTAGGGTGACCGGTAAATTCAGGAACTACTTTTGTTTTGTACTTGACTATGCCACCTAGCAATTGTAAAGACCTACAGACCAGACAAGACCGGAAGTATTGCTTAAGAGCCCCTTTTCACTCTCCAGCAATTACAACACCCCGTTTACCCAACATCTGGAGCTTCACTGAAGGGCTCACGTTCCAGGCCAACACAACTACCCAGTGGAGCCCAGTTACAAACCCCAGGCAGCATTAGTCTTCCAATCCAGTTCCAGTGGGTGACCTGCCATGCCTGCTAACTCCCCAGCGCCACTGGGAAAAAACTGTGAAGTTGCAGCCACGCTCCTCGGTCCTGGGCATGGCGAACAACATGTCCCCGGAGCTCCCCCCCTCTCCCCTCTTTGTCTCCTGAGCCCAGTTTTGGGTAGAGGGGGGAGTAATGGGGATCTTCCCCCTCTGTTCTCTGTAGAGTCCCTGGCGGCCGAGCCCTCTCCTGGGTCCAGCCTCCTCCCCAGTCCTGAGTACTGTACCTGGAGGTTTTTTTTTACAAGCCCCTTTAACCCGGTTTATTGTGTCCTTTTCAGCTGACCAGTCGCACTTGTGCTATTGTTCAGTCAGGAACAGGCATGTCCAATGGATTTATCAAGAGGAAGCTGTTAAGAGACTAATAAATAAACAGGAGGGCACAAACTGCTTTAGCACCAGATACAACAACTTAAGCTGTGCAAACTGAGTCAACATTGTCTTCTCCCATCCTTGTTAATTGCCTCCTTCTCCACTGCCTGCGTTTAACAACTTAGATTATGGGGAAGAAACAAACACACAGGAAAGGAAGAAATGCACCGATACTGACACGATCACTGGCTCCTACATGCAAACTCAATTAATCACAGCCCATAAGCCTTTTCCCTTCTTCAAGGTTGGCACTCTACAGTATGACAGATCGTGTCCGGATTTCACTAGAATTAAGTGGAAATACAGGATTGTACTCTCCAGAGTCCTCCCAGTAATACCGGTGCCAGTTTAAATGAACAGGATAAGGACAGCAGCAAAGATAGAGGTTGTGAACCCACCACCATGTGTTTGAAGGCCCATGGTCTTACCCTCTCCTGTTCACTGCCCATACTAGGCATTAAAAGGCTCATGACAACAAAGCATGAGAATACTTTATTCCTACACCATAAACTTCTACAGAAATAAGCATCCAAACCCTACATCTCACTGAATTCACCAGAAATCTTACAGTATTCATTGCTTGCTAGGAGAAATAAGTGTTTAACATATGTGGCAGAAAGTCTATTTGTCAAACATATTTTAATGAAAATATTCATACTCTTCATAAATGAGTGAATAATGTTGCTGGACATGGACTGTGCCAAGGCTTGGTAAATCTGTGACTTGTGACACCTTAAGGCTCTTTCTGGCTTGTCCTCTAGCATAAGGATGATTTTGTCTTTGTCCCTACCAGTATTCTAGCACGTCATTTTCACAGATTAGAAGTTTATTTGAAAATCATCCTTGCATCCTTGTAACATCCAGATGTGGTTCCTCTATCAAAGCAACAGTACTTGCAAAACCAGGAAAGTCCCAACTGAAAATAAAACCTCCTTGAGGACCAGACTTTTACTGTTACTGTAGATGGCAACATACCACCCTCCTAATCCCAGGAGGAAAAAACACAGTAAATTCCCTACAGATCAGTATTTGGGTCCAAAAAGGTTTCTTGGTTTCCTTCAAGCTGTAACATCTCCAGTCTTCAGCACAACCAGTCTGTGCACACATCAGTCTGTTTTGTCACACCCTTATGTACAATTAACAGAAGCCTGTATTGTTACCTCCTGTGCAGAATTAATCTAAAACCCTAATTATATTGACGCCACCTGATGGGCACCTTAGACTATACAAATACAATGGCGAAAGTTACAGCAGGCAAAGATTGCACCACTTAGCTCATAAATAGATGCTGTCTGTAACTTTACCCCATATTCTGGCATGGACCAAACTGTTGATCTAGTTGAGATTTTTAAAACTGTATTTTACTGTCTCAGAAAAAAGCAAATCCTGTTTTTGACATACAGGCAGTGACCCTTCCTCCACAACTGACACCATGAATAGAAGCTGACCTGTTCATCTTTTAAGTTTCTAAGCACTCTCTCACATTTTCTAAAAATAACATGATCATTTTTAACACCTGACAAAACAAGCTTTGATAAACAAGCTTTAAAAATTTAAAGACTGTATAATACTTTCACCTCTATTAAAAACATTTACTGCAACAAATATAAAGAATATGTAAGAACTTAAGAAAGGCTGTGTGAGAGAGCAGTGTATTCGGTCAAAATAGAGATTTTGTTTCAACATCACCTAGAATACTGTGTGGAATGAGCTGTGTCACATGACTGGTTGATCCAAATCTGTTGGTCAGGTTTCAACTTAAAAAGCAGGAAGCAGAGGCCTCTGAAGATAAAAGGTAGATCCTCTGTTATTCAAGCTGTGTCACAGGGAGTGAAAGAGTCACTGAACAGTTTGTGAGGTTTGACTTTTTGAAGTGTTTAAAAGTTTCAAATAGAAAGACTTTGTTTAAGCTGTCCAGCTATTGTTAGACTGAAGAAGTCTAGTACGAAGTTTAAAAAAGGAGCTTCTGTTCTCTTTTTGTTTGTTTCTAAGTGTGTTCTTTCATGCAGTACATATAAGAGCACTTTTCCCTTTACTTTATGGTTACTTTGTGTGTCTGTTCTACCATGACTAACCTCTGAAAGGTCCTATTTTACAACACCCCTGCACCAACATGTGTCTAAGGCTGCATTGTGTCTCAGGTCATTTGACCCATATTGCTCAATTGGAACAAAAATCCAAATACCTTTCAGCATAAAGGACCAGTGTTCCCTTCATTGAAGAATTGCTTGCTTAGGCAAGTGTTATTAATCTTTAAATGCCCAGTGATTTAGCATAACTTAAAAGAATAACTTTACTGGGGCTTGATGGGACTGTGATGATAAAGATGATTGTTGGTGGGAGGGATATTCACGTGCTGCATGTGCTTTTAGTACTACTATTGCAAATGAACCAACAGCCGCCAGATGAGGCACACATTGGCAGTGACATGTTCACAGTCTGCACATCACTACTGTATATCTATACCACCAATAAGCGAGGAGTCTGGGTACAAATTACATAAGTACAAACCTTATCTAGCTTAAATCATGTTAGAGTGTATGATGCAGATACCCCAAAAAAATATTTTCAACATAAATGTTAGGGACAGTACACCAGAAGGCTTGGTGAAGTGGTATTAATTAGACTGAAAAACCAAAGTCTCAGATGCAAGAAATCCTCTTATGAATCTCTTTATCCTTGCTGTATGTCATTTGCATTGCAAATTTTATCTTGCAAAAAGGACAAAAAGTAGCCATTTTGTAGACGAGAAAGAATTATCAATTAAACTTTGACAAATAGTAGATTGTTTAAAACATTAATAATTTATTGTTTATATTTATGACCACATAAATGTTATGCCCACAGAACATAAATGCACGAACCAAAAAGTGCTAAGCTTCACATGCAGTGCTCTGTCATGTTCACCCATACAGTCACATTTAATGTCTTACATCTTAAATTATTTACAAAATATTTACAGGCTAAATTCACAGTATTAAAAAGGCATATTTCTAAATAAGAAAAAAGCTTTCAGTCTAAACTGAATACCATTCACATAATGAATGACGGGATGCTGCATTCTGCTCTTGCTCAGGCAGGGTACTCGATAATCCTTCGTCTGTTCTTCACTGGCAGAAGACCTTGAGATCATTCCCATACGAAGGTGAGGTCTGTGTTCAACATCTCCTCCTCGAAGATGTCATCGAAGCGGTGGTTCTGCTCTTTGGAGAACAGGTTCTTCCAGTCACCAATTTTGCCTGGAAAACATGCAGATCTTCAACGGGGTGTAGCGTTGGCAAGGGGGCTTACTCTAAAGAAAACGCTGGATTTTTCCGTGAAAAATGGGTGGCACCATGCAAATTCTGCCATGAGTCCGTAGGCATGGGAACTTAAATAATGATTTTTTTCTTTTTTGTATCTGTACAGTATACGTATGTGAGCCAAGCGTTTTCACACAAGCAGAATTTCTGACCTCTCAGTCCCCGTAACCTGACAACTGCCTAGTCTTGCCACCATTCTCAAAGCTCACTGTAAAAATGGGGTCGATTTTACGCTACAGTGCAGTGTGATATTAACTGAAATAACGTTTTCCACAAGGTGCATCTCTCTGCATCAAACACCCACACAGGTGCGCACAGGTCAATGACAGAGAGAGATTGGAATCTGGGCTCACCTTTCCTCATGAACTGGCCCTTGGTGTGGTCCATAATCTCCTGGGGGATGAGAGTGTAGTTCACCATGTTGTTCTGCTTCATGTTATTGAAGCTGCAGTGTCTCTGGGTGCTGATGAGCTCCTCCTCCAGCAGGGGGAGCTGTAGGAAACTGCACAGCCTCTCCAGAGAGCATTGGGTGTCCTGTCCAAAGAACAGCAGAACTTGTCTTAGAAACAGAGCCAACAGTCTATCTATATCATACAAATGCACAGCAAATCTCCCGAAGCATTCTCACCTGCAACATTTCCTCATAGGTGATATAGAAAAAGTTCAGGTTGTTTCTGCAACGAGTCCATCCTTTCACGTGATCAAACCAGGATCCGTAATGCACTGTGCCAGAAGCAAGGGGAGACTGAATTAAAAATCACACTGTATTCAGCTTTGAAATGCACTGAAATATTCTGCGCAGTTCAGAACAATAAATGTATTTCTAATCTTTACCCTGCTTTAATGAGCTCTCAGCTTACCTGTTCCATCCAGGAAACTGTCGAGGAAATCTTCAAACGAGTTGGGCTCAGGCAGGAATTTAGCCATTTTATGGAAGTGATAATAAGACACCGCAACATCTTTAGGGTTTCGTGCAACATAGATTATCTGGATGGGGAAACACAGTAGAGCACAGAGCTGTTAAGAAATAGCTTCCATTTCACAAATTGATTTCAGTTTTCTTACAATAGTCAGTACTGATCTAACAAAGAGCAGGAGCAGCAGAACCATATGGATCCAATGTGGCTTTAAGGTCTCTCAGAAAAAAAGCCCCTATGACCCACATTCCCATTATTAGTATCTGTTCAGCATGCATTACCTTAGCCTTGGAGCCCTCTAGTGCAGAAGCCAGCATGTGATAGGGCAGGTGAGTGGTGAGGATGCGAGGACCCTTGCAGACTCTAAGAACATCTGGACAGTAGAATTGCTCCAGCCAGGGCGACCGGGCCCAGTTGGGAACAGACTGAGCCAGGGTGGGGTCACCCCGACTGTAGATCAGGGTCAAGGTCTCCTGCATCCAAGTGGTGCCTTGGTTGGAAAAAGAGAGAAAAACGGAAAGAGGCCAAGGAAAATGTCATTCACGGTGATGCTATTTCTCAGATCAATTTCAAACACAATCTCAACAAGCCAGGCGCACAGTATGTGATCTCAATTCTTTCACAGATTCAATGTTTGGTTATTATCAATTCACTCCATCTCCCTTCTTCTGAAGAAAAAAAGTGCCATCCCACATCCAGATAGTGTGAAAAATGCTTTTGTTGTAAATTCAGATTGTAATTACTCCCTGACTCCCTAACACTTTTGATCATTGCTCACACGCTTGAATTCTTGTGCAGTTCTGCTAAAACACATATATAAAATGCGTGGAATGTACAAAGCTACAAAGCTTTTCTTTCTGCCATGAAAAAAGTGCCGGGCGTCTGTCTCACTTCTTACTCACCTGACTTGGGGAAAGTGACGATGAGTGTGTCTGTGTCCTCAAATTTGAACTTCTGGGCATATTGCAGGGACTCCTGGGTGTGCATGTGTCCCGGGAAAGCGATGTCTTTGCAGTGCTCGGTGATGTCCAGTCTGGCCATGGCTGTCTCAGAGGCAGGTCCTGTGAGAGAGCGCTCCACTGCGCTGCCCTTTAAAAGGCTCATCTAGGAATGTCGTCACGCTGTGGTGTGGGAGGATGTGGTTTCTTATGTGCATAAGAGAGAGTTTTGCCTGAGAAAATGTTCCTCTCCAATTACGTAGTGAAAAAACTGACTCCTCCACAAATAAAAAATGAATTAAGCAAAACAGTGCTAAATGTATACTGTATCTAAATCTCTCTTTTTTCCATTTCATGCTACATTAAACAAAAGTTATAGACAAATATTTTGTTGGTTTTAACTAAGACAGAAAAAGTACTTTGCTGACCTGGCAGTTTTAAGTGAAAGTGCTGTACAAAAATGTGTTTTGTTTAATTGTTATATGTATGTTCTCAATACAAGTCATACATGCTCTTTCCTTCACATCAAACAGCACACTCTGCAGACTGTGTAACAGGAGTGCTGAACAAGCTATTACAATTACCAGCAGAGAGTGACAGAAAAGAATATTCCAGTGGAGCATTTTTTATATACTACAACAGTAAAAGAACTGTAGTAGCTGAAGTCATATGAGATGAGTAATTTGTAAATAAAGATAAAAAGAAAAGAGTACCTACTTAGAAATTTTCATGTTTAAAAAGCAACCTATAGTATGTGCTGTTGCTCTGGGACCTTAACTCATCTGACCAAAGCCCATGAAGACAGTGTGAATTTTTTGGACCAGCTAGATGTTCTGTTGTGTACATCATGTGTAGCTTCTAACTTTGGTGTCACAACACCACATTCTTTTCCTTATTTGGTAATGCAGAAAGTTGTTCAGTCCTTGCACTTAATGTATATTAAGTTCATTGGGAGCTCATTGATGTGGTCTGCAGATTTCAAGTTTATAGGACACAGATGATCTCACTTTTGTCCTATGGGGGAACTTTGTAATAAAATGATTTCAAACCTGCACCAAACTGCTCTGTAACTTGTGTGCTAAATTAATATTTCAAGCAGGTTTCTATGAAGGAAGATGTCAATAACAAGATGCATCTTATAAGAGCATCAGCATTATTAGGCATTATTGAAGCCTGAAGCTGAGGTCTTATATGGACTAGGATGACCTAAAAATGTCAAATTGCTGAAGTTATTTTCACAGTTGAACTCAAGGACTTGAGGAGCATTTCTCATAGAGGCCCAGCTAGGATATTTTCATCCTAGCTCGGAAAAGGAGCTCTACCTGTAGAACTGCAAATATCACAGAAATTCATAAAAAAGGAAGACAAAACTGAGTCAGGAAATTTATCGGAAATTTCTATAGTGATGACGAGTTTAATTAGAAGAATACATACATAACAATGATATTTGACTTAGCAATGGAAGATCTTGTTAAGAATTATTTCCATATATATATATATCATGTTTAGAATTCTTTCTTTCTATAATTTATAGGTAAAAAGAGGGTGTCAAACACTAAAGCAGAAAGGGAAATACTTGCAGGGTTAGACAAAATCATGGACCGGACAGAAATGAATAATTATTAATTATAATGATTATTAAGAATTGTAAATAATAATTATTATTCATTTAAGGTGATGTGCAAAGTGATCTACACAGGAAGGAGGAACAGTCACTAGACATATTGCAGCTGTGATTCTGAGCTGCAGGAAGTTACGCATGAAAGAAAGGTTTTTTTGTAGAATCTCTCTTGCTTTCAGCAAGACGGTGGGAAATGGTAAAAAGGCAAATATACAGTAATTCTTGAGTATATAGCAGAAGGTGTCATTTAAATATAGGGAAGTTATGTTCAAGATTTACACTGTACTGGAAAGACCTCACTGAGAATATTGTGTTGAGGTTTGGACACTATACCACAGAGGATACACAGGAGGATATTAAAGCATTAGCAAGAGTTCAAAGAAGAGCAACAGCAATCATTCTTGGTTTTAGGGGATTAATCTATAGAGATCTTAAAAAGGCACTTAATCTAAATCTTTATGACTGTTTTCAAGAACAGATTATGAGGAGATTTTGATACATGTATATAAAATCCTAAAGGATATTGATAGGGCCAAGTGTACTATATCCATCATTTCATATCAAACTGGAGACTGCAAGGAAGGTCATTTAGGAAAGAGACTAGAAAATACTTAATTACGCAAAGAGTAATGGGTATCTGAAACTGTTTTCCCAGCCAAATGGTTGAGGCCCAAACTCTGAATTTGTTGGATGAAAGTTTTAGATTTACATCTGAATTGCATCCGAGCCAGGTCTGATCTCTGTTCTCTTTTTAAACAAAGGATCCTTATTATATACCCTGATATTTGTTAAGCAAGCACATCAATGGCCAGATGCCCTGTGCTATGTGAATATATGATGTTCTCTTTAATTCTTCCTGGCAAAAATGATCAATGTCCTTATCAGAGCCACACTCTGGTGTTTGTAGCGTTAAGCAAATTTGAAAGCATGTGACTCCCCACCTACTGCACAAAGTATATCTCATGGATGACCCTCAGCAATACTGGCCCCTGCTTACACAGCAGGGCAAACTGGAGCCACTGGAATAAAGTAGCTCAAACAAACAGCAACAGGGTCTGCAGTAGGGTTTCAAACCCATGACGGTGTGAGTCACAGTGCTCTACTTTCAATGGATATTTCTTTCTTCAAATGTCATCAGCTTCCTATCTGAAGACAGAGATGTAATAAGAAAGTATTAAAGAAGTGAAAAAATAAGCCACTTGTGGTGGTGGTGATCCATGGAGTTGTGAAATATTTTCCACAAAGTAAAAGTAATGGAAGTTATGTTTTTAGATTTTGTTATATTCACTGACTTTTGCCAAAATAATCTCTAGGGTCAATTAGTGCTTTAAAAGTCTGTGTCATGTGTATTTTCCAGTATGAAAGTCTGAGACACTGCTCACGTAGAACAAGATCAATTACCTTTTGTTGTAAGCACCTGCTTTTATGTCTTGGTTATGTAAGATAATTTGCTAATATATTTGTGGAGGTTTTTGTGTATTGAACAGTAAATACTGTAGCTTCAACTCTGTACAGGGTGAAATGTTCCATCATACCACTTTAGGCAGTAAGAACTTAAGCGATGGTTCTATTCATAGAGAACCACAACACAGGAAATAGAGTAAAGTGGTCAGCAAATGGCAACAAACACGTCTCCAGTCAAAAAGACAGACACAGACAGGCACAGGGGTGGGTCAGTGTCAGAGGTCATTTAACCAGACAAAGACATTTGGTGACTGACTTCCATTTAGGAAGATACTTTTAATTTTCTTGGGTACCTCTTGCCACAGACAGATGCCTATTAAAAAACTGTTTATTGATAGATCATCACCTCATTGATTTCCTCCAATTTTCTTGATGTTTTTCTTTATTTATGCAATCTTTTGAGAACCAATCAAAGCAGCACAGAAAGGAAAGCATACAGTAGATTGAAAAAATCAGGAAATTACATTAACTTCTAAGTGGTTTTCTCCTTACGTTATATGACAGTTTTCAGGAAGGAATTTTTTTTATTCCTTTAAAGTGACATAAGCACTTCAAGCAGTCCTAGGTGTTTTCAGTACTGTTGGCCTGGGTGTAGTGGCAAATTGTCTTCAAGATACAGTTACATCATTTAAACAGAATTAACGTTGAAGGCTCATTAAATTTATTAATTATTCCTGTAAATGTTACTCAACAGATTTAATGCCCTGTTAGTTTATTCTTACTAAAAGCTTTGCTCCATCCAGTTGTGGCACAGACAGACTAATATATTACAATATAAGGAATACAGTCTGACAGAAGGGTTTAAATCATGCACTGCTACAGCAAATCTCTATAGAGAATTCACTTTCTTTATTCATATTGCTTGTTTGAATGTGTCTGATAATGTTTCTTGGGAGGTAACAGAGATCGCTAACTGTTTCTGAGGAAATCAGCTGTAGTCTTACGACATATGGTGAGCCTTCACATTTGTTTAATAGGAAAAAAGTTTTAAAGCTCCTGATATATTTCCAAATATTTGGTCTTCCATCCATTTATTTTCTAACCTTCATCCAATTCAAGGATTTTAATTTTGGTAAGCAGCGTCTTTCTTAATTTTTATTTCAAATTTGGAGCACGGAGAAACTAAACATTTTTTTTTCCCTCAAGACTTACTCATTTCATTTTATCTTCGTCTAAAACTCATGTCTCTGAATATTGTAAAGTGTTATAAAACAAAAAAAAGATGAACTGAACGTTGAGCTAATTAAATATGCTCTCACCATGGGCAGCCTTCTTCCTGACAGTTTTAGTTCATATAATACACTACTACTGAACTGCTATCACAGTCTCTTCTGAATATCTCCTCTGTTGTCATAGAAATGCTGCAATTGTGTGAATTGCGCTTGGTTTTATATACAACTTTAAAATATATGAAAAACATTTTTCTTTAGCACATTACCTACATGTCATGCATATTTAGACAAATACTTTTGTGTTTACTGAGCTGCCTACACTGGTATATGTATCTCACAGGAGGAAGTAAAATAATCATCATTTTGCTTCAACCTAAATGCTATGATAACACTGTAATTTGATATGAGCTAGATTTCTAAATTACTTGATAACTCAAATTTTTTATGTTCCCCCTCACTGACTATTTTCTCACAATAGCCAGGTAACGCCCTTGTGGTTCAACCTACAGTATGTGCTATAACTATCTATTTTAATCAGGTTAAATAGTAGTCTCTCAGACAAAAAACAGCACATGCATTCTCTAGAAATTGGGCTGGGATCATATCAAGAAATACTGATTTCTCAGTTATTATCACTCACACTGGATGGAAAATCTAATCTCCAACCTTCATAAAAACACAATCTTTTTCAGAGCTGAGAATGCTGGTAATTAAGGGGTTTCTTTTTTACATTTTTGAACCTGAAGTGCAAAACCACAGAAACCCATAAAGGTTTGGTTTATACCCAACTGGAACTTTTTTTTTAACCAATACAAAATTATGTTACTTCTCAGTAATTGAGTGGAGATAAAATAAAGTCAGGCTATAAATAATGTTTATTTGATTTTT